TTCGATGACTTTCGATACTGTGTTACCCGCGACGACGTTGCTTTGCTGGCACTAGTAACATTTAACATTCCCACGCTTGTTAAAACAGTTATGACTAATCAGTGCTCTGTAATGTAGCATTATTCCTTTAATGAAGTATCGAAACCCTGAATTGAATTGTCGAACAATTGTAGTCACTAAGCAAGCAAGCTTACAGATTCACGTAGGGTTTAGTGCCTTTGAGTGGCTAGTATAAAAAATAACGCCATTTTCTATTAGCCAACTTCTCTATGAATGATTAACGTCTGCTTTAACCAAACTCAGAGGTATTCAAATAAAAGGGGGGACAATGAAAACAATGTTTGCATGCGGTTGGTTTTAAATTTTAGACATTAAACCTTTGTAACGCAATGAGCTACGTAAAGGATATGCGCACAATAATAGCAAACCAAAAATGATACGAAATCAGACACGGACATAAAGGAACAGAGGCTAAGTAGAACGAAAAAGGGTTGTGGTGATTACCTTTGATTAAAGTAAAGTATGTTGCAGTGTCCCCTTTAAACGAAGCATTAAGAACCGAGTATTCATATAAGCAGTGAGTACGGCGGATTTTACGGCCCTCTATTCTCACACTTTACTTGTGTGTTAAACCGAACTCTAATCGATTGCTCTAATCGCTGGCCTAATGTACTCGAGCCTGTCCCAGTATAAATGTGATCGCTTGACAAGGAGAAATTGAAAGGAGAGGTATGCTCCCCGCTTCTCATTCTGAACTATTTTGTTTGATTGCCAGTAGCTAATTTGTGGCAATTGTAAATCCGCCAATCCTTCTGAAACTTTGGAACGACAAAAGGTTCATTTCGGTGAGCAATCTTTTGTTTCCTAAGTACCAGATATTGCATGTTGACGCAGGCAAGAGGAATGGCCTACTCAAAAAAACTGGAGGCTGATTTTTTCAGATGAGACAGAGGAGACAATTATTAAGGTTTGTCTATTCCTAGAAAGGAGGAGGAATTAATTGATGTCAAGTAGGCCGCATAAGTTTTTTGATGTGAAAACGTAAAGGAAAGCTTTGGCACGGCCTCGACGGTCCCATGCATCACCCGAAGGTAAAGCACATTCGTTTTGCAACATGCCTTTGGGATAACAGCTTATTGGTGCGGACCTATCACAAGCAACATGCCAGCCATGCTGGCTGCGCCTCTTCAGAAGTATTGGATAACCTAAAAATATGTCGAGAAAAGCAAGCCCCAAGCGAACTGGAAACGGTTAAACTAACAGGAACGTGAAGTTTAAAGGGGTACTCGTTGCATTAACCGAGTCTCTGATGCGGTTCCTCAAGTGCTAGTACCCACCACAGTGGGCATAGTCCGTAATTCGCCGCCGTTCGATGCAACCCCAGGACGCGCTGCCACTCACTGAAACCTCAGTGGTTGTGTACAAAATGTGCTGCAATGAGGGGGACTGCAATCAGTCCAGGGAGACTGGACGACCTTCTAGATCGCTTACAGGAACACAAACTGGCAGCCCGGTGGCTAGATCCAAACTTACGGCTTGCGACCCCTGTTGAAGAAACTCGCCACACTTTTAACCTTCAAGAAGCGACACCTTCGGCCGAAGTACATAAATAACAGGACTACTCACGTTTGAGGCATAGTATTCAGATGCCAATTATACAGTATGGCGAGTGCTGCAAGAAACATTTCGCAATTTGAAAAAGACCGGTAATCACTCGCAAACCAACATTGAGTAGGTTTGCAATACTGTTTATCATGCAGTCCAATTTTCAGTCACGCTAGGAGGCTGACTCTGTGATGAGATTATTTCTGACCGCTGCGAACATGTTCATTCTGTAAAAAATGACTACTTAAGTAGTATGCATTC